ACCTTGTTGCCTAAACAGTAGGATTGCCATTGCAAACTGCTAGGAAATTCCAAGAATCCATGGTGAGAGATGTAAGTATCACATTTGGACCAACAAACTTTCTATCTGTGGAGAATATGGCAATTATTGTGGGCATCAGAATGGATGCAATCACCAAGTGTCTCCATCATTGCCTGGAAAATGAGATCCTATTGGAATTCTTATATGACCAGAACACTACCAGTTATTTTCTTAGTTGTGTACCTGTGGAACTGAGAAATGCATAGACCTAGCTTAGTAGGAAGGAACTCAGAATGCTGCGGAAAGAGCACAAGGGTCAAATGATAGGAATCTCGTTATCCCCTCTACAATGATCTTGCTATGTGATCATAAACAAGTTATTGGGCTCTGTTTTAAAAACAGTTTGTTGAGATGATTTGTGACTTCTTATAATTACAAAGTTCTCTTACTTAACTACTAAAAGTATTGACCATATATTCTTCTAATTTACTTTTATCCTTATAACATTCCATACAGTTATAAAATGGATATTGATCATATCCACCCACAACTACTTTCTATCAAATCCCCTTAGGGCCCCTCATGCCACCTAAATGACTACTTTTTATATCCTCTTTCTACTCTTCTGAATCCAATTATGCGCTGCTCATTCATACATGAGTATGTCATTATTTATTTTATTTTAACTTATTTCCTGTGTATGGGTATTTATCCCATATGTGTATATGCACTATGTGCAGGACTGCTCACTTAGAGGACGGAGAAGGCATAACATTATATGTCATTGTAAATGATTGTAAGCTATCATGTGGGTGCTGGGATCAAATTGAGTCTTCTGCATTGGCATTCCACAATCTTAACCACTAAGCCATCTCCAACTCTATCAAGCAATGTTCTTAATCTAATATTCTTGTTCCAATTTTACACTGTGGTTTGTCTTCATTTTTCAGACAATGGAGGCAATCAATGGTGGGAAAGTCTTCACCAGTTCATACATGTTTGATTTGGAGGCTCATAAAAGCACTGAAGTACTGTGCAGGCTGGGCAGACAAGGTCCATGGTCAAACAATACCAAGTGGTAAGTATACTTAGAAAGCTAGCAGGGTTGGTGGTGGAGGCAAGGCTACCATCACAGAGATGACACCATAAACTCTGATAAAGATTTCAAACAATAAGGCAGAGATTATTTTTCCCTTGACTTTGAATACATACATATTTCTGAAGAGGGAGTCCAATTGAATAAATAGTTTTTTTTTAAGTTTAGGTTACCCATTAATCATGAGAGTAAAACTGTAGAGAGTGTAAATAGCATTAAAGTAAGAACATTTATCATATAATCAATTAAAAATCAATGAGGTGTCCAAATGTCCAGATTTTTTCAAAGCTGGCCACTGAAATCACATATTTCCATAACAACATTGACTATTCTTCCTATAATGCAATTGTTTAAAGACATTTGGTCTAGAAAGAGGCAGGTATGCTACTGGTTACCCAAGCTCAGTGTATTAAAAAAATGATTTATATTTTATATGTTTCAAAACACACAAAGCAAGGTAAGAACATATTTACTAGCTGGATTTAAAGGTTTGCATAGGAATATTTGTGCAAGTTTTATTTAGTGTGCATATAGTAGAACCAAAACTTGAAAAATATTTCAGCTGGAAAGAAAGAATCAATAACTGGAAAAAAATCTATAAATGGAAAGACTTCAGGCATCCAAGTAGTTCACTTCCAGTTCTGAGACTAATATATACTTCCAATCTCACTGCAGGATTGGTCTTCAGGAAATAAAAAATATGACAACAGAGATAGCAAGAAATGGGCTTTGTGTGGCTCTTACTCCACCCTTAGGAAACATAAAAGAAGTACCTATAGTTCTTGCCAGGAAAAGTACTTGCTATAGCAGGGAGGCACCTATAAAGAAAGCCAGAATAAAACACAGAACAACAAAATTCCCAGGGTAACCACATCAAAATAAGGCACTGGAATGGACAAACCCAGATGGAAGAGAACTATATTTCACTTCCAAACAACTTTTCTTTTTCATGGATTAAGAGATATTGCATTTATATTTATTAGGCAAAGAAAAACCAAGTAAGTAGAAAGACTGCTTGTTCTGTGGAGATATTTCACTATTTTAAATCATTTAATTTTTTAAAAGTTAGTTCTCCTGGGAGATTTGAAATGCTGGAAACATTTGCATGTGTCTCTGCCCTTACTCAAACAGAACCTTACTTCCCAGTTCCTTTCTGTGTTACTCTGTGAACAAGGGTGATATAGAAGGCAGCCATCTTTTGATACTAGAAATGGAATGCTGCTTACTCTTTAGAATCAAATTGCTATTTGATAGCTCCATCTTTATGTTAATGTTAGACAGGATATTTCCCTTTTGCTATTCACTGTGGGGCTCCCTCTCATACCAACCTCCCACAACAGCCTGGCTTTAATTGCATCCCGCATTCACCTTTATTGGATGGTGTGTCTGCTCTGTTTTTCCAGATGGAGATATTTTCACTTATACAAGGCGTGAACCAATTGGGGTGTGTGGCCAAATAATCCTGTAAGTTCCTCAGTCTCCAATGGTGGAAAGAAAGCAGTAGTTACATTTGATCTGAAGCCCCATCCTTATACAACTGAAACGTGTGATGGTTTATGTATGGAGTGAATTCAATAAGCTTGACTTCCTGAAGAATAGATTTCTGCAACTTACCTTCTTGGATATGCACTAGCTGTGCAGACCCCCTCTATATGTTGCTGTACTTTGGGTGTTTCAGTGTTGCCAAATAAGCCTGGTGTTGTTTTGGAAATTGTGCTATGTTATGGTTTCATGAGCTATGCTTTGTAATCATGTGGCAAAGGCTTATTGCAGCTCATCTGTGCTGGGACATGTCAGTGCACACAGCAGTGCTCACTGCTCCCAGCATGTCTGTCTCCTCCTCGAGACAGTAGTTGTGGACAGTAGCAGCAGCAGCAAAATTGTTCAAATCAAGGAAAATGTCCTTTAATTGAAGAGAAAGGAATAGCCACCATGAAAATTGGAATAGTTTGTGTCCTGTATTATATCTTTAGGGAGCAGGGTTGGGTACTCAAAATTCTTCTTCTGCCAAAAAAAAAAAAAAAAAATCATGTTCTTGAGGTAACCAGTTTTCCTTCAAGATTCAAGATTAACAAGATAGTTTTAAAGCTAAATTAAAAACATTGAAGCATCCTGAAGGTTTCAGAATGGCAGTGACTCTTGTTTAGTGTGACTGAATATATCAGTGTATTTCATAGAACTGTTCAGTACTTCAAAGGCTTTGAAAACACACAAACACACCTATGTCACTCCACCAGCTAGGAATATTGGATAAGTTTAAACACTGGCTTCCCCTGTTTTGCTCTGTTGTACTGGAAATCTAACCCTGAGCCTCACACATGCTTTTCTACATGCCTGCATTTCTTTGTTAACTTGAGGACAACATCTAAGGAGAGAGGACTGTTTTTACCACTCATGGGTGGTTAATGCATTAAATAGAGAAGCAGTCACATGTACTATTTCTTCAGGTGGCCAGTAAGTTTGCTGAGATCCAAACTCAAGCTTTGACTTACTGGATGTGAACTTCATTTGCCTTTAACAATATTTTTATTTATCTTGAGTTAAACATAGCTCTGTGTTGTGGAAAGTGCATTCAATATGTCCATGGATGTCTGGTGTTAGTCTCAGGATCCAAAAAGTGAAATGGATTCTCCTAGACATACAATGTACTAAAATATATTAGTGCATTATAATTGAAGTAAATTCAGTAAGTGTTCTTTATGGGGTGTAAGGGAGAAGTTATCATATCTTTTAAACTATCTGTAACATTTGTCATGTTTAATTATATACAAAGACATAAAATAATGTCTTCCTTGTAGAATAAGAATTCAAAATAACATGACTTAATTAAATTCATAAGTGTTTTCCTATTCCTTTCTATATGTTTAGTTCAGAACATTCATCATTTACTAGTTGCTTTTAACAATGAAGGTAAGTGAGATGGGTCATATACTTACAAAGAACTTACCAATTTTCTATAAAGGCAGGGCATTTTAGAAACTTGTTTGAGACAATATAAAATTGTTCAATTTTGCTTTCTAGTGGAATTTCCCACTGCTCATGTTCATTTGGAAGATAGGTCCTGCCCTTAGCTGTGGAAACACCGTGATTGTCAAACCAACAGACAAACGCCTCTCACTGCTCTTTACATGGCTTCTCTAATAAAAGGGGTGAGTCTCCAAGTCACAACATGCAGGAAAATGCAGGATCCATTCCCTTCTCCCTCATTTACTTTATATACCTCACTCCCGCTACTGTGAGCTTCACTGTTCACACATGGCTGCTGTCCATGCATGGAGATGAAAGCAGGAGAGTGTCTTTTTGTCAGTTAGCACAAACATGTCTCTATCTAAATGACAGAAGCATTTAGCCAGTCATCTTGTAACTTGTCATTTCTGTTGTTCAAGTCTCCTGAGCACAGTTCCAAGGAAATCATGACATTCTTTCAAATGCTGAAATATTAACTGGCCTGGTTGCTTCTGTGAATTGTTTCAGTTATCTTAGTTTGAATGTGACTGAAGGTTAGAGATCATATGTGCCAAGAATCACTCGACCATCCTGAGAAGAGAGGCTTTGCCTATGTGATTTTTTTTTTTTTAATGATTGAACAATACCTCTAGGGATTTGTCACCTAGCTGCTCCACCTGAGATTCAACACGGGAACACTGAAAATGTACCCGCTCTTTAGCTTTTCAGCTTTGCTGATGAGACTGAAAGACTTCTTTCTATGTACATACTTTATCACACTTTTCTGGATCCTCTCACCGAGGTCTCCCTTCTGACATTTGACACAGATAATCATTGGAGCTATGATCCATTGATGACTATTGGATTGCCAGAAAGGTTTTCTCAATAATACCACCTTGAAGTATATTTTCCTGTGGAAAAAGAAAAAAATAGTAATATTAAAGAATAAACACATGCAATTTTGTGTGTGGAAAGAAAACTCCTATGGTTATATTAACAAACGCTTCGGTCATGTAGTCGTGCCTCTGTTGGGAATTAAATTCTTGATCCACTGACTGTTTGCCTCTTAACTTGTAGGCAGGATTTCCTCCTGGTGTGGTGAACATTGTCCCTGGTTATGGACCAACTGCAGGGGCAGCCATTTCCTCTCACATGGACATCGACAAGGTGGCCTTCACAGGATCAACACAGGTAGTACCAGTCTCCGGATGCCTCATCTCTAATGAGAACAAGCTTGTACTCTGCAGTTCTTTCTAAGCCAACACTCTAAAAACAAAAGTCGTTTCAAGGATTTATTCCTTATTCTGTTCTTGAAATATGTTTATCAAGCACAAGTGGGTGAATCTAGGATAAAGGAAAATACTTGTTACTAATTCAGAAAGATTACTATTTTCAATGTGTTTATTACTATCTCTTGGAAATATATCCTCTGAGCTTGTCTGATAAGTGGTAAAAGTATCTGGTAAAACCTATAAAATTTACCACAGTGATTTATATGAATGAGTGAAAGTTCAACCTCTAGGTGAAGAAAACTAAATAGTAGAGTCTCACCCTTAGCATCTTATTTAAGACTATCTACCCAGCACAGCCTGAGAGGGAGACAAAAATCCACTTCCTTCCATGTTTCTTCTGGACAGCCTCAGTGTTCTGTGTGGCTGAATTAACTATGGATCCTTACAAAGCTGAGAAATAAGAAACAGCCCAAAAACACTCTAAGAAGTGGCGGGTGCAGGAAGAGAAACAGGCTTGAACATAAATCTGGATATTGCATGAGTTTCTATTAAAACAGACAATGTAGAAAATACCCTGTTTCAAGTAAAGTCAAGTCTCAGTCACCCTACTTGTCATCACATTACTAGTTATTCAACCAAAAAGACACTGCACGCCTCATTGGCCTGGGTTAAAAGTGAGCAAGAATAGACCACACTAAGCAGTGAATACCTACAGGAAGTAAACAGGATGGAGAAGGCTGTCAGATACTTAAAGGAGATCAAGGAAAGGAAAACTTATCTGAAGCTAGATGGGTGCAAGACTTGCTGGAGATGTTGAGGAATATTTTCTGCTTTAACTACTTGATGACTGAGAAGCAAGAAGATTTTTCTTAATGAGCTGAGGTTAATTTGATTTTCTTATATTCATAGTTGCTTCAGTATTTATTAAACTTCTCAGAAGTTGAATTGATAAACATTAAGTTCTAGTTTTATTCCATTCTTGACCTTCTAAAACACATTTTCTTTGTTTTGCATGGACAGTAGAAAAATAGTACATAGTGAAAAATCTGTGATTGACATAATGGTCTTTCTAAAATTGCTGCACTCAGAATATTCTGTGGGGTAAGAAGATGTGAGGATGTATAAGACATGCTGATAATTTTTGTAATGGTGATATCATATCAGGGATGGAAGAGGCAGGCAGATAGAATCTTGGGATTTCCCACCTCCTGCATTGGGGGAATCCATGGCTTATATGGGTCTGAAACCTATGCTGACTCCTCCTGTGCTAAAGGCTTCTGGTCCTAACCCCAGATGTAGCATGAATGTTCAACTGTCATAAGTGATCCTGAAACATGAGCCATTTTGAGGCCTCTTCATATACCCCGCCACCCAATAAAAATGGAAATTAGAAGATCAAGCAAAATCTGGGTTCAAATTCCAATCTTAACTTTTATAGGCATCATATCTTTGCCAAATTTGGCTTTCTTTATTTGAAAAGCAGAATGTAATATCTGGCTTTCTCAGTTTTACTTAATAAAAATGAGAACCCACCAAAGAAGACATTTAGCCCCTTCTGAAAACTTGGGAAATTTCCTGGTCACTTTTGTTTTCCCAGGCTTTGGTTTGTATGTGGGCATCTGCTCCTGTCAACCACCTCCCAGTGTTCCCACAATGCCTTGGTGCTCCTATCTGAAGTTCTAAGAAAATCATGAACTAGACAATGTTTCCACTGGCCTTGCAGGACAGTGTCCTTATAGATTAATCTCTTTCTCTTGTCTGGCTCACCTCAAAGACTCCTGTTCAGGGTTAGCCACAGAATGGTGGCTTCTATATGACAAAGCCATAGCAATATGCTTTTAAAAGCCACAGCAAGGATAAACATAGCACTAGTCCAATACAAATGCTTTGTGGGAACTTGTTCATTTGTTTTCCTCAATGTTTGTTACCTGACTTACACTAAAGTTCCTGAACCATTTTCAATCCAGAAGCAAATGATAGATTGCATCTTCTGTGGTCACAATCATGAAACAATCTAACAAAAAGAAAAAAAAGATTAACATAGCTTAGATAATAAGAATTTTAAATAATTCATTTCTATAAAGAACTTTAGCCACACTGTATAATATATATTTTCCTAAATACTGGTCACCTCTGTTTCACACAGGATGCAACAAGAGAGTGAACAGTTTGGATTCTGCCATTCTCATTGTCCTCTTCAGGAAAATAAAATTATACTTTTTAAAAGTAAGGGTATAAAATCACGGGATAAAAATTACTTGCTTGTTTTCTGAGAAAATTGAAGCAAGCCTCAAATTGTCCACCTGAATGTACAACCTACATAAAATCTTTATTCTTTCTTCATATTTCTAACCAAACAACTGTGCTACACATTCTTTGCCATGTGTATTGTAGCTTTACAAAATATCCTCTGGTCTTAACTCCATTAACCATTACAAGATTTGGCTATGATGGCAGAACTTTTCTGCTAAACTGATCAGGTACCTCCAAAAAGATAAAATAAGAGCATATTCACTTTTTAAATGAAAATAGTCACAGAGATTGTGCCACAGAGACTCAGCATCATGGCTGACACCACTACCCCCACAAGCCAGAATGAACTATCCAGGGATACACTGTCAGAAATAAAGGACAGAAAGTAAGGAAAACAACAGTCTGAAAGAGAAGTAGGGAAGCCAAATTTCAGGTAGTTCTTCCCTGGGACACATGACCAGTTTTGTTTATTTCTATTCATTTAATTTCAGGAATTAAATTTAGATTTATAACAACATTAATAAAATGAAAACCTCAGTAGAACGAATATCTTTTCTGTAAAACAAAACAGTATCCACATAGGAATAATGTCATCACTTATAAGTGTGATAGAAATGATCCATTAAAATCCAATATGTAGAACAGCCCAGGAAACAGAGGATTAAAGAAGCAAATGGGTATCTCTAGATACCGGGATACAAATGTTTTAAGTAGAATGTCATCATTGTGAACATAATGAAGTACACTTGATTATAAAAGCTGGATTTAAGGATGGAAAAGGAAAACTAATTTTTTTAGAAAACAACCTTCAATTGAAGGAACCCAAAGAGAGAAAGTAAAATAAGATGAAACCAATGTCTTTTAGATGAAGGAAGTGGAATTAAGGAAGAAACTAGAATGTCAGCATCCCCAGCTAAGGGCAAGAAGAACACAGAGATCAGAGGCAGCCTGTTTCTTTTCTATCCACTGTGAAGATTGCCATGTGTAGGAGAAACAGGAGCACAGTGCCAAGAACACAGTGGTGAAGGATGTGCCCAGATCCATTAACAGTGAGCACATTGTGATAAACACACAGGGCCATAGAAAATGACAGTCTGTTGGGAAAATTTTGCAGATATGTAGGATACCATTTGGGGTATGCCAGGTGGGTTTTCATGTGTTTCTTTGGGAGACTGGGGAAAAAGAATCATGCCCACCTACAAACACCAGACAAGAGGTCAAAGAGAATCTGTACTAAGAGGTGAGCCCAAACAAAGGAAGAACCAAGTTTTATAAATGTCACCCAGAGGGAAGAAAAGTCATTGCATGAGGTGTCTGGGGATATTTGTGATCAAATATAGAGAGAAAGTTTTGATGAACATGAAAAATAAACTCTTGTCAGCCCACACATGAAAGTCAGTTCTCAAGTTGCTCTTCTGCCCAGGAGCATTTTATGATTTTCATCATATTTTCAGACTTGATGGTGGAGGCTTTTACACCTGAAGGTGCCAGATCCTGAACAACACCATTTCATGTATCTTCCAAATTAAATTAAAGGGTGATGTAAATGTTCTACGAATGGAAAGTATTAAAACAACCTATTGACATGAGAACAAACTAAGCCTCCTCCTATGTGATGTTTGGGTTCAGGTTGGCAAATTAATCAAAGAAGCTGCAGGGAAAAGCAACCTGAAGAGGGTCACCCTGGAGCTTGGAGGAAAGAGCCCTTGCATTGTGTTTGCAGATGCTGACTGTAAGTACAAGTCCCTTGCTAGATCTCCCCTTCCTCCTCCTGATGCCTGTGAATGTCACAGTCACCTGGAGTCTTGCAAATGACTTTGCTTCCAGTGTAAGGAATTAACTAGAGTCTGAGGTGACTCTGCACAGCTTTTAAATTGATCCTGTAGTATACAGCTGACAAACACTGAGAAAATTTTGTCCTGAGTTGGAATAGCTTACTATTTCCCAGTGTCAACCTGAGGTAGTATAAATGTACTGCATCTAGAATCAGTGACATGGTTTTGGTAATAATTTTCCCTTTGACCAAAGTATGTGAATGTCTTGAGATTATTTATGGTAATATTTCATATTTTTATTAATTAAACCTGAATTTTAAAGGAGTCACAAATATTTCAATCATTAGAAAGAGTTATAAAATCATTTGCATTGCTATTTGTTCTTACAATTAAGTCTATATTCTTAGTAGGGTCTGTGTTGAAGAAGTACTAGCCTCTCTTCCCTGATTCTTTCTGTCATTTCATTGAAAATAAAAACATCATCAAGATTATTTTGTCAACTGGCTTCTAAGAGGTAAAATATGTTAAGTCTATGGCTGTTTGGTGATTCTTCTTTTTACCCTATCACCATTTTTCATCTGAGAAAAAATACATTTAAGAATTTTATTTTGATTTAGATGTGATATGTATGTGTGCATATATGTGTGGATATGTATAAATGAGCATGAATGTCTCCAAAGGCCAGAAGAAGGCTTCAGAGGTCCTGAGGAAGTAGCTATAGGAGATTGTGACCCATCATTCATAGACACTGGGGACTCAACTACAGAACAATAGAAGAGATCCAAGTGCTTTTAACCACCCAGCCATCTCTTCAGTGTGTGTGCATGTGTGTGAGCGCACGTGAACAAGTGCATGCTTTAGAAAATATTTCTTCTTTAATGTGAATGTTTCCTTTGCAGTGGACACAGCCGTTGAGTTTGCACATTATGGGGTGTTCTACCATCAAGGCCAATGCTGTGTAGCGGCATCCAGGCTTTTTGTTGAGGAGTCAATTTATGATGAGTTCGTGAAAAGGAGTGTTGAGCGAGCTAAGAAATATGTTCTTGGAAATCCTCTGAACTCAGGAATAAATCAAGGCCCTCAGGTAAAAAAAGACAAGCATTGCAATACAAGAAGAAATATCTACTTAGAACTACTTAGAACTTAGAAGAATTAACTTTACCTCTTAACTATACACTTGGCTAGTGGACATTATTGTGGTGACATCTTGCTTATATTAGCCATGGGACCAGGAGGGACAGAAACTTACATCTACACATTATTACACTGATCTCATTTTATGAAAAGAGGCTAATTTCCAATGGGAAAAATCATTCTAATTTTGTGTTGGCAAAAAATATTATATATTGAGAAGCAGTTTAAGAATAGTGCAGGGGATTAAACATGTATAAGTCTGAGGAGGTAACCCATTGGATAAAGCTCTTGCCATTTGAGCATGAAGTTCACAGTGCAAATTCCTGCACCCACTTAAAAACTACATGTGGTAGCTGGCATTCAGTTCCAAAGTTCAGGAAATAAGGCAGGAATTTCCCAAGGCAAAGTGACTAACTTGAACAGCCAAGCTCATAAGTTCTGAGAATAGGATAGAGACTGAGAGTAAAAGACACCTAATGTCAACCTCTGTCTTCTTCACACAATGCATTGTTATACTTGCAGTTGAGTGCATACCACATACACATAACACACAAGAGGTAAAGAGGAAAAGTTGCCGATATTATCAGTTCCTTGCCTTCTTCAATCTGCATGCTTTTAGATTCCTATTACAATTTGTAGACCTCTTGGAAATTCATATAGATTTAATTTATCCCTTATAATCAGTCTTTCCCTTCATCAGTCATACTACAACTATAAGCAGTCAAGCACTTCTGGATCCTCTGCAGGGTCCTCAGTTTATCTAATGTAATGTTATTGTAAGTGTTCTTGAAGATTCTGGTTTATGGGCTTCTGACATGCTTTTCTCTATAGTTATCAGAAGCAAGCATTTCCCAGGGGACTCTGAGTTTCTTCTGTGTAGTTAGATCCACTGAAAATACCAATGTCTTTGTCTCTTTGTCCAAAGGTCCCCTTTTCATCTCTCACAGCTTTTGTTCATAGTCTGATATCGTCTGCCCAAGATTTATGGACTTTAATTTCTGAGTTCATACCTGCCTCTGGCTCCTTCTTTAAAACAGTAAGCCCTCAACCAGAGGCAGTTATGCCCACCCCACCCATGATAGGGGACCTTATCTGGAGACATATTAAGTTATTACAACAAGATGAAGGGGACCTACTCACATTTCCTGAGCAGAGGAAAGGATGCTGCTGAGCACCCAACAGTGAATATAATACAACCTCATAACAATGAGTTTACTGTCCCCAAGTGCCATTAAAGCTATTCCTGAGAGCTGTGCCCTTGGGACTGAACATTGACCTTGGAGCTGATATTCTTTTATATTAACTATGATACACTGTTTCTCACTTTTGAATTGGAACCAAACCTCATTCTTCAGTTATTTAACAACTACAAACCAAATTCCATTAGCAAAAATTTAGGGGTACATTGCTACTGGCTATGCCTCATGAGAGGACCTTGAAAAAGCTATAAGTACCAAAGAGGACATGGTCAGTAACATCTTAGAATTTATCATATAAATAGCTTGGAAGAAGCTCTTAGTGTTTCTTTTTAGTCAAAGTCCCCATGTAGGAAATGCATAGGACTGAAGCAGTGCCCCAAGATAACTGCCAAGTGAAGGAATTATTTGTATTGTATCAGTCTCATTATGTGTTTTTATCATTTATTTCAGTGAGTGTATAGATACTTGCTGATTTTTATATTTGCTAATTCTCAAATCCCTATTTGTGAATTTTAAAAATGATATAATTTAAATGATGCAATTCTTAGCAATTTTGTTATGATCACTTCTCTTCCTAAATATATATATTGATCTGCTATCCAAATATAAAACATATTACCATTAGATAGATTGGTAAGTAAATACAATATGTTGATAAGTGAATGATGGACAGTAGGTATACAAATGAAAGGTATGTCTTTAGATGACAAAGGGTGCAGAAGAAAAGATTATCTGAAATCCTTCATATTGAGCAACTTATTGTTTTCTTTCATCAAGAGAACTGTGTTATTCAGCCAAAGCCTTCAATTGAGAGGAAATGTATTATTATTTATAGGATAAATTAAAATAGACTTTAAACATTCTGAATTGTAAGATTCTAAAGTAAACAATCCTGTATTCTAGTTGACTATCACATGGCTTTACTCTCCTTTGTAAGTACATATCTTTTTAAGAGAGGTTGCTTGGGATACAGAGAATAGGCAGGCATGTTGACAAGCAAAAGCATGGGGAGGCCCGAGTCTTCTCTATCCTATGTTTTTATCTGGAATAAGAAAAACATTATGAGAAAAGTTATGCATTGACCAACTTTTGCCTAGTGTTTCATCCACTGCTGGCAGAGTCACTGGGACTTTTTAAACAGAGTTTGGGAATTCATAAATATCACAACAAAAATAATTTTAGGGAAAAATTAAGATCAAATACATTTTTTTAGGAAAATATTTTACATAGTTTTTTTTTATCATTTTAAAGATGATAGACTGCAAGAATTTCAGTTTCAAAGCAGATTATTATACTGTACTATATATTTTTGTATAATAGTTATAAATAATATGTTATTATTTATTTCATGTTGCATATGAGTATTCATATACGTATATTTTATTCATTTGTAAAGTAATACTTTTATTTGTCTTCATGGACCCAAATGCATCCAGAAAAGCTTAAAATGATTAGCATTTTTCATTTGAAAAGAAAAATGTATGATCTCCCCCTCCCTCAATTTCCTTGTTAATTAAGTAGTAATAAAAGTATAAATCTTGAAGATTCATTATATAGTGAAATGAGATAAACTGTGTGACATAGCCAGCATGATGTTTATTTCATCATATAGTCATAAATACCAATTAAATTTCACTATGCATGATAGAAATTATATATGATAATACATGATAATAATTTTATGTATAGTACAACCATTATCTTCTTAGAAATAATAATATATTTACATGTCTGCCCTCAAATTACTCATTGATCTCTACTTTCAAGGTATGAACATATGGTTTTCATAGATGAACTTGTGCCTTTTTTGGTTTATATAATTTCTAACACATAAAATCTAAGGAATCAAAAAATAGTCACATTCAAAAAATCAAAGCACACATTTTAACACCATTATAACAGCATAGTGATGTTTACAATTTTGTAGACTGTGTGTTCTGATAATAAGATTACTGTTATCAGTTCCATGATCTACAATGATATACCTCAATATTTCCTCTTTCTGGAGCAAATAGTCAAGGACTAGATTCCCTAGGGGCATCTAGGGGCATTTTTTTTTTTTGTCGAAGACAGAGAAGCACTATGAGTTGGAATGTATATCTTAAAATAAAGAACTGAAAAATAGAGATTTTCTGAGAATAGGACAGAGATGTTCATGAAATTAAAGGATGACTGAGTGCACATTAACTCCAGAATATCTCAGTTAAACATATCTACATGATACCACAACTTAGCCTGGATATATTGTATGTAGTAATATCAGTGCTTTGGCTTTTCAACCAACCCCTGGAGTTCCACAATAGACAATGAATGAAGAGGTTATCTTTGAGGAATGTTCTTTTGAGTATTACACACTGAACATTTGGAACAACAGGTTGACAAATACTATGTTAACTTTTCTCAGCTAGTAACTGATAGCAGCCAGCATTTACTCTAACTAAAGGTAGAGGCTGAGATAAGTGCAGTTAGAAAGCAAGTCATGCAAGCTTTTCTGATCCTTTGAGTACTGAGAGTTCAATGATGTAAAGAATTTCAGTTGTCAATACAAGACAGAAAATAAATCAGCCCCAAATCTGACCCCCTCCTTTTAGTCCCTTGGTTTCTAAATGTTCCATTTATGTAAACCCAGTCATACCTCAAGCAGGCAGTCTGTACAAATGATCTTAAATCCAAGACTTACTCAATCATTCACCTCCCCTTTCGGTGAAAACTAGAGTATTAGGAAACCCATAAGTCTCAGCAAGTGGGTGGAGTATTCAATGATTCTGATATTGTCAACCAGAAATCTGATCTCTTTAATTCTGTCTTATGCAAAATATTATTTAAAACACGATACTTCTGTGATGATTATCATATTATTTAGACATGGTCCACATAATGGAACAGGAAATTGATAATCATTTCTTGTTAGAAACTGGGATGCAACTTAGTGCACTGAATGGAGCAAGACCCCCAAACTGTGATCATACATGGTATGAAAGAGCAGGCAGACCAGTAAACCTGACCCAAGAATAGGCAGATTTCATTTCTGAAGAATAAAGGTCTTATACAGCCCAAAGCATCTGCTTCTAAAGTGACACTGGACTTGATCCTTTGCTCATCACTCCTTTGTCTCAGTAAGGACTAAGTTTTCAGGCATATGTGCTAAATCATTAACAAATTCCTTCCAAGGTGAATAAATGACAGATGTGTAAAAGGCCCCAATATTTCTGCCTTTCTAATTGCTATCCTTTGTAAATGTACCAAGATTAACAGAAAAACATACTCAAGAATAGGCAGACTGAGCTGAACCTCTGCTTAACTGACAGACTTGAGAGAGTGTCCTGGATGTGGACATCATTTAATGCAGCGGTTCTCAATCCGTGGGACACAACTATTGGAAAATACGTATTACTGGTGGTCTTAGGAAATGAGATACCACTAAGTAGCAAAATTGTATGTATGAAGTAACAACAAAAATAAGTTTGTGACTAGGGTTCCTAAGACCATAGGAAATCAGTGGTTTCTGCTGGTTGAGACCCATAGTTTGCAAACCACTGATTTAGTGGTTTTTCATTTATTTCCTTTTTCCCTATGATTTCTTTCAATTAGATTGACAAGGAACAACATGAGAAAATACTTGATCTCATTGAGAGTGGGAAGAAAGAAGGAGCCAAACTGGAGTGTGGTGGTGGACGCTGGGGGAACAAGGGCTACTTTGTCCAGCCCACAGTGTTCTCCAATGTAACTGATGAGATGCGCATTGCCAAAGAGGAGGTAATGGGTTCCACGAGGTTCTGTTTCTGGGCCATTCTGAACCTTCAGTTGTTCAGGGGAACAACATTCCCCTGAAGTGCTTGATGATAAAGCCTAAAGTAATTTGTTATCAAGACTGATCAGTGAGGAATGCAATGGGCTACAAGCAGTTTCTATCAAACACAGAACAAATTCCACAGCAGCTTCTATAGGTGCTTCATTAACAGCCTTAAAGGAAGGGGAAATGACTCTTAAAAACAGGATCAATAAAGATGCTAACCAACAAACAACACATTAATAAAAAGAACTAGTTAGCGATTAAAATAGTAACTAATATACATCTTGATTATGAGGGCTTTTACTATATACAGATATATAAGCATTTGCCATAAACAATGAAAGTGTTTTGTGCTATATACTGCAATAAGAAAGTACAATGACTCAACTGTGCAGAACCATACTTTCCCCCATTCTGTGAATTCATACTCATGTCCCTGATATGACAGAGCATCCTGGAGGTTATATTCTTTACTCCACAATGTCAGCAAATAAGGAGAAAAGGGGAATATTCAGCTGTTCAAGAAGCAGGAATAAATATAAAGAACAGAAATAAAGATCATATATGTGGATAACCCAACACACTTAGATTGTTTGCATCAACTCACACCTCAACTGCATTTGAATTTCTGCACTTAATGGCCAGTTCTTTGATCAGAGCTACTGTTCTTGTAGACCTTGATTAACATGAGTATGAAGGACAATAAGGCAGAAAGTAATATTCATTCAAGGAAGATTGTGCTCCTATAATGTACTCACTGGACTATCTCATTTGCTGCTTCAGAATGGGAACCCAGAGCCCATACTGTATAGGCTAAGTTGCTACAGTTCTTAGCAAACCCACCATAGTCCTGCTCCAGTTGGTTCCCATTTACAGTGTTCACACTGTTATGCTTCCCAGTTTCCAGGTCACGAGACTGTTTAAAATACCAGGGACTGCTCCAGCCTTCAGAGAGTTGCTGGTGACTGCCCCATAACACTTAGATTTCCTCTGTATACCAGAAAACTAAATGACACATCTGAGTTTTTGCCAACCATGCTTATATTTCCCAGGAAAGTGTACTAACATTCTAAGAAACCTCTCTTTTACTAAATTTTGATTAATATCTTTTCAAAGGACAGAAGTACAGTATCGCTGAGAAGACCCAGTTGTATGTGGGCTGACATACACACTGAGTCGTGTGTGGCCTTTATTAACTAGATTCCAGCAGAAATGAAAGACTGGCTAACACTGAAAGAATCAAGTGTGATGATAGTCACTGCCAGGAACCTCAAGCTTTACTTAGTATGGCAAAGTTCCAGAGTTTAGTAATGGTATATAGTATTGAGTGACACTAAACAATAAAAATCTCTGCTATATTATACAATATTTATAATTATGAGATGATACAAATACAGTAGAAAGGTTGATGTTTAAAACAATGATACACTGATGTTGAAAGCATAAATATTATTCTCAATCATTGTCTATTTGTTACTCTTAGAGCAAAGGACTGCTTTTTTTGTTCATGTTGTCTTGTGCAGTAATTTGGACAACAAAGAAAACTGGAATTAACTTTTAAGATATTTCCAAGGAAATCATGCAGTTAATGATGTGATGTTCAGTTCTTACATTTTGTACAGCTCTGTCACAGCACAAATGATAGGTGTCTGCTTAACAGAGAATGCCATACATGATCACAGCATGTTTTTATGTTCACTGGCCATGGCCATCTGTTCTGAAGTGAGAGAAAGCATTTTTGTCCATGTAGAATGGCTTCTAGGGAAGCATATGTAATATATTTGAAGCTTATATAGTGTATATAGTGTAAACCTGTTTTCATGTCATTCTATGTAGATATTTGGGCCAGTGCAGCAGATCATGAAGTTTAAATGTATAGATGATGTGATCAAGAGAGCGAACAACACTAGCTATGGCCTAGCAGCAGGAGTTTTCACAAAAGACCTGGATAAGGCCATCACTGTGTCTTCTGCTCTGCAGGCTGGGGTGGTGTGGTAAGTTCATCTGAAGTAAGGTGTGCCCTTCCTGTATCAGCCACATAGGCTGAGTTGACCTCCTTTAGGCTTGATATTCATAGAAATTATCTGACCGCCTGGGAAAATTGTCTTATTTTTTTAAAACCAAATTAACTTTATCCAACTATTTCAAGTTACCTATATAAACTTTTTGTGACTGTTACTCTATACATTGTAAGAATTGCTCATTTCAAGGTAAATAAAAAATTGTTTTGTTCAAATTTAATTATGTTAGATAATGTTTTGTTGCTTTATGTATGTCAAAAGTTATTGTTGTTGTCATTGTTATTTTCCACGAAGAATGCTGTACTTTGTGCCGTGCAGTGTAGGCAAGCACTCTGTCCCTCAACCCAAACTCCAGCTTTTGTGTGTGTGTATACATACATACATACATACATGTATATGTTAGACTTGAACTTAGTTGCTGAGTCTGTCTTTGAACTCACTCTTTGGTTCAGAGTAGCCCTGCACTTTCATCCTCCTGCTTCAGGCTCAAGAGTAACTGGGATTATGGGTCTGTATCCCAGGCAAGCTGGTATAGTCAATGATTCTTTTTCTTGCTTTTTGCTTTTTTACAGTAGATTCTTACTCTGTTTTTTGTTTGTTTGTTTGTTTTGTTTTTTGAGAAATATCATTTTTTTAGAACACCATAACAAATTTTGTGAAGTAATTTTCTCTCACTTTTGACCTAGTCTGCTCTTTGATTTTTATAGTTTAACTTAGATGATTCTCAGGCTGTGCCTCTCAAACTGCTGCTTTTCCCAGCTATACCCTAGACTGTTTCCTCAGCAACATTTTCTCTTCAAGCTTCCCTTCCCTCTGTCCTGGCAATAACACAAAGCTTAGCATGCTTTTATAACATATTTCTCTATGGAAACATTTCATTTTTTTTTTACAAAATCTAATTAAAATTGCTAATTAGGTCTAATTCTTGCCAACACTTTTGAGTAAGCAATATATCAACCAATTAATGAAACTGCCCATGTATTTTCACATTCACTGCAACTGCTGAAGAAGGTTGATTTTAGCCTGGTTAAGTACATACGCATTACAAAGCTTGCTACCAAAGAACAGCAGACAAACCCCAGCCTCCAGCAAAGTAGACACTCTTTTCATGGCACATTGGCTCTTCCCTCTGCTGTAATTCAGAAAATTCTTGCTTTATAATTATTCACACTTATAGCGATCCCATTTATTTGTTTTTAGGTAATACACATGTTTGCTTTCTGCATTCAAATTTACAGCACTGCTTTTTTTCCCCTTCTCATCTCAATGGTATATTATACTGAATGATGGAGTTTTTAAAGAGACCTTTGATTCTTTTCATATCCAACTTTGTAATTATGGGGTTAGTTAAGTATTATCTATAATGCCCTTCTCTTCTTTTCTTAAGGGTAAATTGCTATATGATGTTGTCAGCCCAGTGCCCCTTTGGTGGATTCAAGATGTCTGGAAATGGACGTGAACTGTAAGTAAATCTTTGTATTACAAACATATTTTTGTGAAAGGGGTTGTCACTCCAAGGAGGATGTTCCATTTCCACCACCTTAAGTGAAGTATGCCTGCATTATTCCTTGGAGTTTCTTACACAGAATAACATTTAAAATTTTGGAAGTACTCCAAAGGTGCAGAAAAACAATAACAGAAGGAATATATTTTGTTAAGCTCTTGTAGTCCATAAAGGATGGTGCTAAGTATCCCACCTTTGTAGCTGGTTGTTGCCTACTTTTAGGATTACCTATGATATAAGTGACTACAAACCATTTGGTAATCATTTTCTGAAAGTAAAAGGATAAATTGATAATCTAGAGAGGCATTTAAATAAATATGGAAACATTCTAGATATATAAATATAGCACTTAAGGGAATTAAAGTTTCCTTATTCCAGACTACTATGCATCTGGTGAAGTTTACCTTGTGCCTGTGTAGAACAGTCATTTGCTACAAAATAACACCAGAGAATTACTGAAATGACCATCTCTAAGAACCCCCAAGAATTAGATTGTGGATTATTCTTTAATCTTAGTACTTGGGAGAAGGAGGCAGGCAGATCTCCGTTATTTCAAAGTCAGCAAAGTCTTCATGTGTGAGTTTGGGTCATCCAGGATTGTATAGTCAGCTTCAATGTAATCAAAATTGCATATATATTTCTCCAATGAGTGACAAGTGAGGCTGCAGCTCTAAATAGAATGGAAAACAGCTTGGTCAAAATCATGGGTTAAATTATTTACCTCTTTTAAATGAATCACTTATTAAAATACTATCTTTTAATAGAATTTAGAGAGCTGAGGTGAAGCCCTTTACTATGTTAAAAAAAAATTCTTATTGAAGCCTTGAAGAGGTATTTTCAAAACTTTAATTACCTACAGAATAATCAGGGAATGGAGACTGTGTTTCTGGGGAGAATACAATACCGTCTACATACACAGGAGAAGGGTTTCAGGAGCAGTGCTGGAAGTAAGGAACAAAATTCTGCTCCTATGTAAACCTGTGTGCATAGGTGTTATAATATTGAGAATGGCCCTAAGAGCATGTGATTTTATCTTTTTTGCCAAAACTATGCGGAACACAACTGAATACAATCTTCTTACATAAATTATCCACCAAGTGAAAAGAAACCATAATTTTCAAAATTGGTCTGGAATAAAACCGTGGTTAAAAATCACTTTGGTACCTACAGATACACTGATCTCAGCTGCTGTTCACTTGACATAAAAGTCTCCTGAGGGTATTATATGATGTTGATGAATAGAGAAAGCCAAGCTCTGCCCAAATCCCAAATGCCTGAGTAAGGGCAACCTTTAGTTTCTTTTCTCCCTAAACGTATATATAATTAATCCAAAAGATAGAAAACTCTACGAAGAAAGATTAGGTGGTTCTTTTGCCAAGACTCTAAAAATCCTATTAAAACTACAGCTTCTACGGACTGAAAATGGTTCCTGGTCATTTTCTAACCTCTCCGGTGACAGTGAATGCAGCCTCTAGTGCAGCTGGTGGTTTGTTCTGTCGGTCTTCAGTGACATATAGTACACCTCTCTTCCATACTGATCTTATAAAACCTGACCAGGTTGAATTATGATTTGGATAATTAGTCATATGCTCAAATAAAGTAATGTAAACAATGGATATTTCCTGGGATAAGCAGAGCGCAGAATTCTTTAAAATAAAAGACATCTTAGAATACTGCTCTCCTCTGGGGAGTTAATTTGGTCATGAAACTTATGATAAGCTAGTAACTATATGAACTATACTGTGTTCAATAAATATTTTACATTGTCCCTACTCAGATAAGCAAGAAAGAACTTGTACCAAATTATGAGAATTATGTTAGGTTTACCTTGCAGTGCACAATCGTGTTTATAGTAATTTTCTTCCTTCTCTAGTGGTGAGCATGGAATTTATGAATACACTGAGCTCAAAACAGTTGCCATGAAAATATCTAAGAAGAACTCGTAAAGAAGCCAACAGAGTGAAAAGAAATCTTTCAGCAATGACTACACATCTCCTATAGTTACCAGTATAGTGGTGTTTTCCTTTAACTCTTCTATTGATTTCTTAAACATAAGCGATTCATCAGTATTAATGTCACACATAGAAAATATGTAGTTTAATCTGAAAGAATCATTAGCCCACTAATATGTGACCCCAATTTGTACCCTAGACTAAAATGATAGATTTAGGTTCAAGCTCTCTGTGACTCTGTCATGGTCAGGTGCTTTCCATTGTAGAATGTTTAGAATATCTACTTGGTAAGGAGGACCAGTTGTGATTTAAGCTCTGTCCCTCAGTGACTCCTTGACCTACTCCATGTATACAGTGACTGCAGAGTAAGTTGCTCTGTCCCTGTGGTTATGCCTACTGAGTGTTGTGAACTGTTTTCTGGAACACCATACCCATTTGTCAAATGAAATACCTAGCTGGAACTAGAAGGTAAAACTTAATAAAGGCACACTTGCATGATTTTGTTTGTGTGGAATTTCTTTAGTATAAGTTTGGATTATGGTGATGAACTCTACTGGTCAGTCAAAAGCAGTTTTAAATTGCCTGAATACATGCAATGCAAAATAAAAACAAATGAACAAAAAAGTTCAACCTGACCCCATTTATGGGTTAGAAAAAAATTATTTTTCAGATGTTCTGAGAAGATGTGCCATCCCACTATACCACTTAACAACTGTTATTTCAAAGTGGTTTACCTCTGGAAAACACAAAGTCCTTGGCATACCAAAGAACAGAGTGTATAATGGGAACAAGGCTTTTTGAGACCCTGTATTCAATAATTTGCAAACAGGTAGAGATGAATTCTTAGGGAACTGGGAATGACTTCATGAAAGCATACTACTAGATATGAATCTTAGCAATAAGCTAATTTTCAGTACACAAAGGGAAAGACATATTACCTTTTTAGTATTATCCATTGTAAAGAGAGGAAATACTTCATACACTTGATCTTCTGTAGTTTCCAACTCTATACTTAGCTTAGATTACAGAATCGGAGAAGTCCTCCAACTGAAGTTATATTTTATGATGATGTTTCCCCACATTTATTTTAGCCATGAACTTGCCCTTCTGCATGCCTCATTTAACACCAAGAATATTCAGGAAGTCTTATTAGAAGGTGCTGTTCTTGCTAGCATTGCAAGAGGAGGAGCTGCTGAAGGAGAGAGCACTCTGAAGATCAAAGGACTCTCTGGCATGATGTCCTCTTTGTAGGCCCACGCTGCCATTATTCCCTCCAACCAGGACCTTACCTTCTTCTTCTGCCCTGTGCTCCCATGTGGATCCCAAGGTGCATGCAAGTAAAACAAGACTTTTGTGAGCTTTGGTGTGTATATTCTAAAATGGTCCTAGTTCGACCACTTAACATTTAAAGTTACAGTTCTCTAGACCAGTACTTTCAGATGCCAATTAAAATTAAGTAGTTTATCATGGTCATGCATCAGACATGCTGACAGTGATAGTGTGGCACCCTGATAGCTGTCTTCACACAGCAGTGTGGGAATCAAGAAAATCAGTGACTCCAGACACCTAAAGTAATTGCAACTCCAATTTTCAGGTCCTCAGACATATAAATGCATTAGTTTTGGCATCATTAAAATTACAGTGTAAGATTTGCAATGTAATTACTGCTACTAGAAATCTGGAGAAATGGAGGTCTTGGGAAAAAGGAAAGGTGTATTATGAATGAAAACATAAAAAAAAAATGCAGAGGGGGGGGAGGGTGTGATTGTCTTATTTTATTCTAATTCAATTTATTGTTCTTTAAATTTTCATTTTCTTAAACCAAAAGCAAATCCTATATATTCACAAACTGTGTTTGGGTCATGAGTAAATTTGTCAGCAGGCAGGCTTGTGACTACTGTGGCAATGCAACTCACCAGAACACTTCTCATGTATCACAGAGAATGCTAAGCACAGAACAAGACAAAAGCCAGAAGCATATTTCAATATTTGAAAAATCAAACCTTCCTGTGTAAATAAGACATTACAGGATTAAACAAAATCTCTCTGCTTTGTACTAGCTTCTGCTAAGTGTCTGAACTCTGTGTTTTATTAACTGTATAGAAAACCACACCAGCAATGATACTTAAAACCTTTTTTTTATTAACTCTTGTGTGGGCAACTTTATGAAGAATTTAGCTTTTCTGCTGCAAATATGACTTCATCTTCACACATACCAAGCTAATGGACAGATATTGAGATTTACCATCCAGGAAGGGGGAATGTCAGATGTCAGGTACAAGTTATCCAATGATTAGTCTCACAGAAATTTTTCTCTTTTCCTTTTTGTATCTTTATCTCTCCTTCACTCTTTTTAAAAGACATATGTTTCTGAAACTATTTTTGAAGCATGAATGGTGGCAACTTGATTGTTCCTTGATATCAACACAAAACAATTGGCTTAAGGTAGAGATCCTAGCTGTTCCTACTCAGGTTCAGTGATTACCTAAAAAGGCTCCTTTCCCTAGACCTTATGTGTCCTCTCCCCATATTCTCTGACCATTCTGTTCTCTTTTCTTTCTTGTGAAACCCAGTAGCCTGTTTTTTGTTTGTTTGTTCATGTGTTTTTGTGTTCTGTTGAATATTTCATTGTTGAAATTCAGCCACCACAAAGCAGTTGTAAAGCAAATTTCTGAACTGGTTCTTCAGTTCCTGTTTATCCCAAAAGGAGAAATGGTTCTCAACCATAGCTGTGGAGAGCTATTCCCAATCACTGGAAACTCTGGTTTCTCATCTCTTGTAGCATCTATAGCAGAGCCTCCCCCCCCCAACACCCACTCCCCACTCAGTGTGCAGTTTCCTGAGAAGACCGAACTGTGAGCAATTTCACCTAGTGTTGAGATTTTGGGTTGCCTTCTTTTCTTTGCTTGTTTCAAAGTTATTTACACAAATATAATTCATCAGCCTCAGAAAACTATTGAAAGGCACAGGAATGATTTAAGCTAGTAACACTTTTAAAATCATTTTAAATAACTTTAAGTTTGTAGAGAAGAGGCCAAGGAAGTGGAAAGAACTCTCCCACACAGTTTACTTACTAATTTCATTATTTTCTAGCCTTGACTCTATCATTCCCATTCTCTACCCAAAGACCCATTTCCCTCTAGGGATGTTTTGTAGATATCAGAAATTCAGCTCAGATTACCTCTCTAGTCCTGGGAATATAGTTGTCTGTTCACAAAATCACAATGAAATTACCTCATGCTGAAATAATTTAACAGACAGCACTGATGTTTAATACCAAGGCCTTCACTGACATTTCATAAATTGTGTCATCAAACCTTTATGAAAGTTGTATGATAGAAATTGATATTGTTATTATCTACCATGGTTTGCTTTTTGTTTCACAATTCATTCATTCATTCTTCTTCTTTTTTGTTTTTTACTGTTTTCTATTTTAAAGTATAATCAAGCTTTTTATACATGTCAATTCCAGTTCCCTCTCCCTCCCCTACTCCCCTGCTATACACCAACACCCTATCTCATCCCCTTTCTGCTCCCCAGGGAATGTGAGGCCTTCTATGGGGGATCTTCAAAGTCTGTCCTATCTTTTGGATCAGGGTCTAGGCCCTCCCCCATGTGTCTAGGCTGAGAGAGTATATCGCTCTAAGTGTAATGGGCTCCCAAAATCCATTCATAGATTTCCCAGGCCCCCTAACTGGCATCCATGCTCAGGGGTTCTGGTTTGGTTCTATGCTGATTTCCCAGTTGTCAGTCTGGGGTCCATGAGCTCCGCTTGTTCAGGTCAGCTGCTTCTGTGAGTTTCTACAGCCTGCTTATCACTCCTTCTCTGCAACTTGATTCCAGGAGTTCAGTTCAGTGTTTAGCTGTGGGTGTCTGTTTCTGCTTCCATCAGCTACTGGATGAAGGCTCTAGGATGACATATAATGTAATCATCAATGTCATTATAGGGGAAGGGCATTTAAGGTAGCCTCTCTACTATTGCTTAAATTGTTAGTTGGGATCATCCTTGTAGATCTCTGGACATTTCCCTAGTGCCAGATTTCTCTTTAAACCTATAATGGCTTCTTCTATTATGGGATCTCTTTTCTTGCTCTCCTCTGTTCTTCCTTTGACTCAGTCTTCCTGCTCCCTCATGTACTCCTCTCCCTTCTCTTCTCCTCTTCTCTTTCTCCTAACTCCCTCTCCCCTCCCCCCATGCTCCCAATTGTTCAGAAGATCTTGTCCCTTTCCCCTTCTGTGAGGGACCATGTATGTCTCTCCTAGGATCATTCTTGTTTCCTAGCTTCTTTGGCAGTATAGATTGTAGGCTGGTAATCTTTTGCTCTATGGAATGTAAACTTGTACAGCCACTTTGGAAATCAGTATGGTGGTTCCTCAGGAAAATGAGTATCAGTCTATCACAAGATCCAGCAATTCCACTCTTAGGTGTATCCTCAAAACATGCACATTCATACAAGGACATGTGTTTAGCTACGTTCAAAGCAGCATTGTGTCTAATAGCAAGAACCTGGAAACAACCTAGATGTCCCTCAACTCAAGAATGGATAAAGAAAATGTCATACATTTACACAATGGAATACCAACTCAGTGGGGTGGGAAGAACCAATGGCAAATAAATGGAACTAGAAAAAATCATCCTGAGTGAGGTAACCCAGTCACAAAAAGACAAATATTATATATACTTACTCATATATGGATTTTAGACTTAGAGCAAATGATTACTATTAATTCTTGATAGAGATACATTACAGCATACTTAATTCAGTCAGATTGTTGATACTCTCTTAGCTTCTAAAGGAAAGCTAAGGAACATGAAATTACACATTACTAACTGAGAAAAGGCAAAGGACATGAATGGTTTGAAAGGAAAAGGTTTGTAAATTAAATGTTTGATTATTTACTCTAATCAGAACAAGGATATTTACATTAAGTGGGAACACATGTGGTTTTTCTCCCTTGACCAATTGTAGAGACAGATGTGCTGTAGAGGACATCTTTGTCTGTTCTATGTGTTCCTAAAGGAAGTCTCTCTCATTCCATTTGGAAGTATACTTGTGTGAACTCTGCCCCTTAGTTACCAATGATGATAGAAACAACTCTCACCTCAGACAAATAAGAGAAAGAATACATTCTGGGCTGATTAGGAATAACATTACCCAGGAACACAGATTCAGGTCCTCCACATAATGTGTTTCAATAAGATAACAACTTAATGAGCTTTTTATAGTAATAGAACAAAGGCAGTAATTAAACACCATATTTTCAAGCACATTGGTGGGTACATCATGTAGGTGGGTTATAGAAAGTAGGGAGGCTCTATTATAGGCCGCAGATGCTATCTGACAACCTGCTCAGCTCTTTAGTTAGTGACACTTGAGATTCGTTCTCACATTCCAAAAGCTTTACCCCATGGTTGCAAAGATATTAGGTCATGTTCAGAGGGGGGCAAAATTGGCTACCAATGGGGCCTGAAAATGTTCTCAGGGGAATTTGTCTGT